GGAAATTGACAAATAGCATACCCCAACAGTGTAAAAGAGGAGAGCTTTGTCCTCTATGTACTTTGAATGCTAAGGAAAGGCAGGATTAAAATGGAACAAACTAATACTAAGTATACTGACCCAGACTTAAAGACTGGTCACTTAGATCAATGGTTCTTAACCTTGGATTACTCAGGTGTTTTTGGACTGCAACTCCCAGAAGCCTTCACCACCAACTGTGCTGGCTGGGGTTTCTGGGAGTTGCAGTTCAAAAACATCCGAGTAACAAAGGTTAAGAACCTAGGCCTTATCATTCTCCTGACTTATTGTCTAGCTGCGTAGATCAAATTTGATGAGCTTCTCTTGGTAATATTTCCTTTGTGTTTCTCTCTTTTTCCCTCTTTCTGTCCTTTCCTGCTCTCTTGCAATTCTCCAGATTCTCCATTTCCTCTCCAACCTTCTTCCCAGCTTCCCTTTCATCTCTAGGTCATTCTTGCAGCCTGTACCTCACCACCCACTCCTCCCAACTCTACCAGCTGCCCCTTTCTCTAAATTCTTACCCTTCCAAACAGGGACTCAGCTCTGGAGGGAAGCGGCAGCATTGGCTCCGCTTGACACCTTACTAGGAGGCCTCTTGGCAGAGCTGGCCTTACGCAACTGCATCTCCTCGGAGCCCCTAAGATGCTCTAAATGTAAAGAAGCAACATTCATGAAACAGGGGACTTCCCCAAAGCAACCCAATGATGTGAGTACCATTTCTACAGGAAGAGAGAGTAATGCCTCTGGGGAAAGTAGGAGCAGCTCATCTCCATCTGATTCTCCTCTTAACAAGGAGATTGAGTGTCTCCACTTCTTTCTAAAAAGGAAAATCACTAGGACACAAGCCTGGCTGATTGATTTATTATTGTCATTGTTTATTAGCAGCGTGTGTACTGAAGTTGTTGGGAAAGCTAACAATGATGGTAAAACATAGCTATAAACACAAACATATAAAGCAGAGAGTAAAATGAATGTAACCATAAGATAAAACCTGTCAGCAATGCCAAAAAATAAATATAAACTGGACTTAAACTTTGATTGTAAGAGGCCGGGAAAAATTAAAAGGTCGTGGCTCAGTAATGAAAAGAAGGAAAAGTAGGACCAAGGTAGATTTCTTTAGGGAGAGAAGTTTGAGTCAGAACCTTGCCCAGAACCTTGATCCTGGAACTCATTGACGAGAGTAGTTAGGTTGGCCCCACCGCTATTGATATTGTTCTGTATTATTCCAAAAGACTTTGGGGTTTTTAAGCTAGATTAAAATGGCATTTTCAATTCATCTTTGCATGTTTTAAGTACCTATTTGATCATACCATGCATTGGGATCCCTACTGGGCAGAAACATGATAAATGGTTTTTTTAAAAAAGGCTGATAAATTATTCAGCCATAAAGTGTCACTGCCCAAAGGCCCCTTTTGCCACTAGCCATCTGCTGTTTCTTATTATCTCTGTTGACCATTTAGAAAAACAGCCCTTACCTCTGCTGAGTTGCCCACCACTGCTCCACAATGTAAGCAGAAAGACCACCCATTCTATAATCTAACCAAACTCTCCTGGGAGGATTACTAGAGATCTTTCAAACAACAGTCCTCAGCATCTTCTGTTCCCAAGTGGACTGCTGTTGAACATGGAGAGCTCCCTGCCCCCCATGCAGAAGAGAAAATGATGGTGTTCTAGCTTGTCTGTAATCCCTTTTCCCTGGCATCACCCAAATCCCAGTTGTGCAGGTCTACCTTCGGTGACTGATAGTCAGTTCACACATAGTCTTGCCAAATAGGCTGTACACGCATTAAGAAGTGGGAGCAACTCTAAAGTTTATGTTCCTTTGCCCTATACACATTTGAATGTGATCAAGGTCTGGAAGTATGAAGAAACCATCCTACCTAATCTGTATTTGAGGAAAGAGCATTCAGATTAGGGCTCACCTGCTTAGGCATCCCAACCCTCTACATTCCTGGGTCCATGACATTACCTGTGCATTTCTGGATCTCTCTTTAAAAGAGAGAGAAAAAGAGAAAGAACAAATAGGTATGAATGGGGCAAATACAAACAGCTATGACCTGGGGGCTATTATGTGACCTACCTTCCATAATCACACACACTCAATCATAAGTGCAATAATATTTCAGGAAAGTTTAGTAATTTAGGTTGAGTGAGGGAACAAAGACAAAGAATATGTACAGTGGTACCTCGCAAGACGAATGCCTCTTACAATGAAAAACTCGCAAGACGAAGCACAGGCATAGGAAAAAACAAGGGAGCTTGACTGGTTGCCAGCAAAGTTCCACCCTCATGACCGCCGTGTAGAGTGAATCCCCTCCGTGCAGGCTGTCCAAGAAGACCATGGATGGCGCTGCACTGGGTTGCGGGCCAGGCAGTGGCGACGGGTGCTGCTGGAGCAGCACCGCCTCCTTGCAGTGTGGTCTGGCTGCCAAGATGTTGTCAATGCTGAATGTGCCAGCAGGCATCCCCCGAAAGCTGGTGGCATATGCCCATAGGGAGAGATGGAGAGAGGCCTGGAAGTAGAGAGGGATGGACGGATGGAGAGAGGGAGCGAAGGGGCTGGAGGGAGGGAGGGATGTGGAAATGAAAGGTTTCTGCCCAAGAGGAGAAAGTCGTGCACTTCAGTGAGTCCGCCCCAGAGTGAATGAGCTTTCCCAAGGCTTGGAGACTTGGATTTATTAGAAGGGGGAGAGTGCGATCTGCCAGTAAGCAGCTTCTCTTTTTTAGGGGAAAGGGGGGAGGAAAGGGATCCTCGTAACTTTGCCTTCTTGTTGCACCTCCTCTCTGTGTTTCTCTCTCTTTCTCCCCCCCCAATCTTTACTCACTTTTTTCTCCCATAGGAATGCTTTAATTAAATTTCAATGCATTCCTATGGGAAACCACACTTTGCAAGACAAAATTTTCGCAATATGAAGTGACTCATGGAACAAATTATTTTCTGCTTGTGAGGCATCACTATATTCTCGAAGGCTTTCACAGCCAGGATTTGATGGTTGTTGTGGCTGGCATCTTCAGAGGACAGGAGTCAGAACTCTGTCTGTACTCTGGTGCAGTTTGCTTGGATAGTTGAGTATTTATAGCTGTGGGATCAGCTTTTGTCCTGTTCAGGAGACTGGGTGATTATGGTCATCAGCGTGGTTTTGTGTGTTTGTGTGTGTGTGTGTGTGAGAGAGAGAGAGAGAGAGATTATCTGTCACTGTGATTGAAAGGTGTCGTTAGCTGGTCTTTTGTGTGGAGTGATCACCGGTCGTTGTGGCTGGGTAGAGTTTGTTGACCTTTTGCAGGCTATATTTTTCAGTGCTGGGAGCCAGTTTTTTTTGAATTTTAAACTTTCTTTTTTGTTGAAATTCTGGTGGTGTTTGTGGATTTCAATGGCTTCCCTTTGCACTCTAACATAATCATTTATTTATTTATTTATTTATTTATTTATTTATTTATTTATTTATTTATTTATTTAATATCCCGCCTATCTGGTGTTGTCCAGTACTAAAGTGTTTTGAAATACAATTTCGTGTCCAGCTTGTTTTAAGGCATGTTCAGCTACTGCTGATTTTTCTGGTTGTTTTAGTCTGCAGTGTCTCTCTGAAATGGGACCCTACATTTCTTTGGGTCCCGTTTCAGTTTTCTGTAGGTCATGGGGTATAGAAGTTCCCTGATTTTGTCCTTGCATTCTTCTGTTTGCATGATTACTATGGCATTGCCTTTGTGTTTATTGTTGCCATTTTAATGTGTATCAGTACTGTTTTCAATCTAATAATTGTAATATATTTAATTCTTTTAAAATATTGTAATACTTTATTATTTTAGCTTTTAATATTGTCCCTCTTAATACCGTAAGGTGCCTCAGATCCTTTTTAGGAGAAAGGTGAGTTGTTGTTTTTTAATGGGCTAAGGCCAACAGAGACAAGCAGCAGCCCTGACATAGGGAAACTTTGCTGTTGAATTCCTTGTAAGTAAAATAACTTCCACTTCCTACCATCAACTGATCTGTGGTCAACTGAACAGAGAAGTGCCTTAGCTAGGTGAGAGCAGGACCTGCGCCCAAAGAGCGAAGGAAAGCTGACGACTGTGGGTTTTTTCCCCTCCTCGAATCCTGAGCTAATCAATGCAAGCTATGAGCTGTCATGATTGTTAGGGCTGAATGCTCTCTCCTTTCCCGGTAACTAGGGAACCCTGATTCGAGTTCCTGAGAAGCAGGAGGAAGTGACGCGGAGGTTATTTATGTCTTTTGATCAATTTCAGGGGGACAAAATTGCCTCGCTCTCGCTCTCGCTCTCTAAGCGCAGGCCGAAAGTGGCCGCAGAAACCCAAACAAGAAACCCAACGCAAGGTGGGTGGGGGCAAATCCGAGAGCCCAAAAGCTCCAGGCGAGCTTCGTTGTCCAAATGAAGGTAGCTTGCCCTCCATTCCAAAAAAGAAACCCTAGAGACGGAATTTCCTTTTAACTATGAGTTAGTCTCAGGTAGAGACTCCTCCCGCCTAGATTCCCTACTACCGTATTAGCTCGTCAGATTCTAGTTGACCAAGAACGCGTAACCCGCAGAGAGCTTTCTAGAGAAGAGCGATTCGTGTACAGTCGGAAGGAAATAAAAATTCAGATGAAGTTTAGACGACGTCCTTACGATTTATTCAGGAGGCCTTTCCGGGCTCCGCCCCGCCTGCGCCTTGCAGTAAAGCTGATCCAGCTGTAAAGGAAAGGGAGAGGACCCCTCATGGCAAAGCCGAGAGGAGCCACCCGGCGCTCCTTTCCCCGCCCCTTTCCCTCCTAGACAAACACGTTTGTTTATCCCTCCGTTTCTTCTCCCCGAGGGAGATCTAAACAGCAGCTACAGCCGCCCCCTTCCCTTCCCTCCCTCCTCCCTCCCTCCTGCCTTCCAATCTGTTTTCACAGTGGGCTTCTTTGCAGATGTTTGTTTGCTCCAGATGTCAATGTCCTGGCTTGACATTCATGCGCGCACGTGTCTGTGTGGTGTCTCGTCTTTCTCTTCCGCCCGCTCCCCCCCCCGCCCAACATCCGAGGCGCTTCCCGCTGGGGGGAACTTTGAGCAAATGAGCGCGCAAGGGAAGCCCGGCCAAGCGCCCCTGCCCTTGAGTTGGCTTTCCGGGAACTGTCCAAGGTGCTGAATCTCGGGAAAGAGGCGAGCGGGCGCTGCCTGGTTGGAAGGCGGGCTCTGGATTCCTCGCAGCGCCTCCATTCCCGTCTCTCTTTCGCTGCTGCTGCTCTTGTTCCCGCTTCTCCGCGGAGCTCTCGAGGGGATCCCTTAGACATTTCGACGACCGGAAAGCAAGAGAGGAAAGTGGGAGCGGGGGGGGGGGTGGCGGCGGCGTGAAAGGTGATCCCGGGTGTGGAAGCGGCAGCAAGCCGGGCTCCCCGAAACCAGCCCGAGACGCATGCGCATATGGCCGGCGAGTTGCCGTCCCCAGCTGAAGAGCCCGCGGCTAGTAACGGCGGCGGTGAGCAATGCAAAGATTTCCAGCCGGCTCCCGAGATCCAAGGGGAGGTAAGTACCCGGCAGCCCTTCCTGCCCTCTTGGACTACGGTTGCTCGGATTGGCCAGGCGAGCGGGGTGGGATTGATAGTATTCGTGTCTCTCTGTGTGTGTGTGTGTGTGCGCGTGTGTGTTTCCTTCAGGCTTCCTGGTCTCTTCCATCAGAAGTCCAGCAGAATTGTTCCGCTTCTATCTACATGCCACAGGTCTTTGGTATACTTCTTCTTGCCGAAACCGAGCGGAGGTCAGAGATTTGCGTCGAGAGAGTATCCAGAACAAGGCATGTTGAGTCATAAATAAAAGAGAGAGAGAGATCCTTCCTCCTATTGGGGCAGGTATAATGTGAGGTTCGTAGTGGATCTGGAAAAAGGAGGGCGGATGAGTGAGTCTCTGCGATTGGGAGGATTCTCTTCGGGTGTTTTTCGGATGGTGCTGGAACGGAGGCTCGCCAGAGGGCTTTGCCTAGGTATTTCCGAGGGGGAGGAGGAGAGGGAGAGGAGGTTAAGCGGGAAAGCAGCGGCGGGAGTGGGAATGACAGCCGGTGAAGCTCGGGCAGTCAAGAAGCTTCCTTTGACCCAGGCGCCACCAGCGCTGGTGTGGAAGGAAGGAAGGAAGGAAGGAAGGAAGGAAGGAAGGAAGGAAGGAAGGTAGGTAGGTAGGTAGGTAGGTAGGTAGGTAGGTAGGTAGGTAGGTAGGTAGGTAGGTACCTACTTGCGTTAAAGCTGAATCCTCCTCGGGGGCGAGAGAAAGAGGGGGACTTGAGGGGCAAGGGAGTGGGAGTGCTTGTCAAGAGAGCTTGGAGGGGCGGGAGACTGACGAGGGGAAAAGGAGGGTTGAACGGGAAGCCTGATCCGCCCGGAGAAGCACCTCGTGCTGTTGCGAGGGAGAGAGGCGGTGCTGCCCAGTCCGGGTCAGGGCAGATGCGCCGGTCTAACCATGTGAAACAGGCTCACCTCGAGGCCCGGAGAAGCCGGAATGCGAATGGCACCGTTTTGCTCTCTGCGATCACCCAACGGCAGCTGAAGTCCTAAACAGGCTTGTGGGGTCGACTGGGTCCTCGGTAGGGTCAGAAGTTTAGCATAGATAGCAAAGCAAGTTTGAGGATAGGACAAAGAGCGTTCCTTTCCTTCTCCTCATCCTGTTTTCCTCCTGATCAGATCCGATCTCGTGTACACGTGGTTTTATCCGCGGCTCCCACCTTATTTGGCCGGTTCATTCTCTGAACACCTTTGGATCAGATTGTTTGGGTGGCGGCGTGTCGATTTCACACTCTTATGCGTTGCTTACCATTGGCCGCGAATAGCAGCTCCCCTCCCTACCCCCTTGTTTCAGCGGGCACACGATTTTAGCGTCCGGGCCCAAAGTTAGCAGGTGGAAACAAGCATAAGCGGCTTCTCTCTGCTCGCCTTTCTACCGTCAAAGTTCCGCGCGATCGATTGCTAGAGGATGCAGTTTGGAAGGGACAAAAGAGCAGATCCTTGTCCGTGCCATTGGTCCAGGCACACAGAGTGTGGCCGACAAAACCCCGTCGTTTTCTTAGCTCTGCCCTGCATGTGTGTATGTTTAAATCTGAAGTATCTGTGAATTACTTTCCAAAAAAAAAGATTTTACTGCAACAATATAATAATCAGTTTAAAATTATTTCCAGCAATTACAAAGGAAAGAAAGAAAAGAACAAGATCAAACAGAAGGAACGGTCAAAATTACTAGGTAATTTAGATAGACAAGATAGAACAAATAAACAAGTATCTACTTTCCCAAAACTGAAGAGAGGGAAAGTGTCTCTGTGAATTTTCCCTGGTTGAGAATCCCCAAATTTAGGAGACATCACCAAAGAAGGCCCTTTTCTTCATTGACAAATACTCTTAACTGGCAGAGCATTCTGTCAGAATTTGGGCCAGAATTCTATGGGTGATTAATAAATGCACATGCTAAATGGAGTACTCACCACAACAAAATGCTGGGCAGGTTGCAAGACAAATGCCTGACTGTGAAACAGGTGTATGCCTGCTGAATGCCTTATTAATTAGCAGCAATTCACCATGATGTACTGTGCAATTTCACTTACACACACATATAAATCACCAACAGGATTCTAGCCACAAAGTTTTTATCTCTTGAAGGAGAGGAGCATAGCAAAAGTACAGTATGCATAGTGAAAACACACTCAGAGTTAGAAAAGTTACTTCTGTAACAATGCCATGTGTCATAATAACAGTTTTAAAATCAGAATAGAAACTTGTGGTACACTCAAGGCTATAGTATTTTTATGAAATAAAAGTTCATGGACTATGTTACCCCATAATAACTGCACTGATCTTCAAGGTACCACAGGACTTCCTGTTCTTTTGGTGCAACCAAGTAACATAGCTACCTATCTGAAAATTGTTACCCATACTGGGTAGTTAGTACACGGGTCTGCCCAGGTTAGCAAGGCAATCTTGACACAGATATTGCAATAAGGGCATGAACAGGACATCACAATGATTGATCAGCAGCAACAATTGTTGAAAACAGTATGAATAATTATGAGTGTCTTAGTCAGCCCACCAGAATACCATTCTTGTTCAATCTGCAGCTTTGTCTTGCTGTCTCACATGCCTCCTGCTGCTTCCTATTCATTCTGTGGGCATCATTTCTCTCTGATGATCTGTTATGTTAATATGCAATAAGAGAGACCATTTCAGAAAGCTCAACACCCTACTTACACACTTCCTTTCTGTGTAAATATGCAGAGTGTACAGGTCCTGTTTTCTCCATCACTCTCTACCTGTCCCAGGTGACTTTCCGGAGGGGAGATCCTCCGCTGTCTATGGTCGTCTCCCACATGGATCACACCCTTACTTGACAGGGTTCAAAACTTCATTAGCAGCCTCCACAGACTGAGCCCCTCCCCTTGAGAAAGCCATGTAGAATCCATGGCTAATGGCACTGAAGGGTGTCTGGACGGAAGGTAACAGAAGGGTGATGGGTTCATCTTTTAATTCTGAGGCACATTTTATGAGAATACCTGCAATCACTTCAGTGTGGAGGATGCAAAGATGGGGCCATAAGATCTTTAAACTCTTCTCCCAGCCCATCAAACAGCACGATGTGAAAAGCTTTAAAGTGGCTTCCAAGCATCATCACTCCCTAGCCTGCCTTCCTCAAGCTTTGTAGATTTCCTGCCTGGGTAAGTTTCTACGATGCTGGTTTCATACCATTTATGTACCCTGAAAACAAACAACCCCACCCACCCCGGCCTGAGGACTGGCACATGGAAGCAGATAATTCATCCCCCTCAAATACGTAATTGTGGCACTCCTCTTCCAAATACAGAATTGCACCTACCCTTCTGAGAATTTCCAGCTGTGTTACTTACACTCCCCTCTTTGGTACCTGTTGTTTTCAATGGTCAGATAAAAGCTAGAGAAAGAACCAGATCCTTTTTTAAAACCCTCGTGCTAGAAATCTTAGCAGAAAGCCTGATCTTGCCAATTACGATGCAGGCTGTTCCCTGGCCTGAAGTAGGACAAGAAGCGCCACCGCTGGTATTACCACTGGTTCATGCCACTCCCTAGCCCTGCATCATTCACTGGGCAACAAAGGCAATGATAGCAGCTTTCTCCCTTGTGAAATCTAGCTCTTCTTTAAGTGGCTATGTGAGTAATGCCTTTGGCCTTGAGGGTTATTGCCCAGGAACATTAAAGAGGTGTGATCAAAATGTTACCTGTACACAGGCCATTTGGGGTGAGGGAGTCACATCTCCATAATGCCTTAGCTGTACAGATGCTTCACAAACCAGCTGAGCTGTTGCTGGGCTATGCAAACAAGTGGCAGGAACCTGGAGGTGGCAGAAGTGACTATCCGCTAAGGTAGCAGAGACCGGGTGCCTGTGCTTCTGCCACCATCCACAGTGTTCCATCATTTGGGGCAACTGCTTTGGTTTAGCTAATGGTCAGGCCAGATCTGAACCCGGAACAAATTTTTCTCACGTTCTACTAGATACAGCCATATGTCTATTGATATGGCACAACCCATCCTCTCCACATGCACCTATAGTTCCTGCAGATTTCATCAAATTCAAGGAGATATGGCACAACCCATCCTCTCCACATGCAGATTTCATCAAATTCAAGGAAGAGGAGAAATCTAGATCTTTCATGTGTTGAAATCTGGATCATGTTTGCTGTAACTAAAATGTTCACACTTGAATATTAAGCACGACCAATTGTTAACAAATGACAACATAAATGTCTTACATTTTATACAACAATTCAGAGCAAGTCAGGACACAGGGAAAGCACTAATCATACAAAGGAAAGTTATAACAGGCAAAAAAGTAGGAGCAGAAATATGGCTGGCTTATTAATCGAATTTCTGCATTTGGGGTTCTTGTATGTGAGAGAGCACGAGTTATACTACAGAAAATTCCTGACTCTTGTATGGCTGTTCCTGGGCTACAGAGAAGGTATACAGTATTTCCATGTCTATTTCTATTCTATTTCTAGAATACATATGCAAATATATGAGTTACTGGATATGCTTTTTACAGGATGAGGAGTTAAGCTTGCTGGGAAATGGAAATAGTTGATGTTAAGAGCACTGGTCTAAATGGATCAGGAGAAGTCTCTTCATGATAATTCTTGTATATACTTGCAAGGGAAGGCTGGGAGGATATTTTTTAAAGTGCAGAATTTCTATCATGATTGTATTTCTGAAATGTGTGCCAATACATAAGTGCTAAGAGAGAGGTTAGCATTATATGATAAAGGATATTTAGATTGATTTTTTTAAATAGTCAGTAGTGTCTAACGGCTTTCATCTGACATTTACTGTATTTTCAATGGAAACAGTATTTCCATTAATTACAGAACATTATAAAAACTGGGGCCTGAACCATATCATCTATCTGAGATGGAAAATGAGGCAGAATAAAAGGATTTAAGACTTTGCGGGCCCAATGGCCCTGATCCAAAGCACCACTTCCTGTCTGATATTAATATTTTCAAAGCTATGGGAACTCCTGATGG